GGTCCTGCTTCTCCTTCCAGCAGCACTCTCTGCTTTTCCTCCAGCGGGGTAACCAGGGCAAGGAGCTTTGTCTCAGCTTCAGTGTGACTGGAGGTGTGGCAGAGTCTCAGAATGCTGAGAATTCCTCTGGGGGGGCTCCTCTCGAGGGTGTTTTATCCAGGGCTGAGTGAACCAAGGGTGTCAGGGGGGCAGGGATGGTGCTTTGTGCAGGGATCACCTGGTGACCTGTGCTTGCTCCCTGCAGGCTACAGGCACTGGCACGCTGACCTGCGCCCCGATGACACCCCGCTAGAAGCAGGTCTGGCCTTCACCTGCAAGCTCAAGTCCAGCATCCCCTTCCTGGGCCGGGAGGCTGTGGAGACTCAGAAAGCCAAGGGCATCTTCCGCCGCCTGGTGTGCTTTACCACAGAGGAGTGAGTACTGCTGGATCTGCTCTGCAGAGCTACTGCTGGATCTACATCCCAGCTGCTGGATCTGCTCCGTGCTGCAGCTCCCAGCGCCAGGAGCACCCCTGGGGCAGCACCTGCACCGAGCCCACCCAGCCCTGGGTGCTCACAGGTGCCACACCTGGACACACGTGGGGCTGGGTGAGAGGCAGCTCAGTTGCTGGCTCTAATTCCATCCCTATTTTAAATCCCACTGCAAATTCCCTGTTGGATGTTTAATGGGAGCTGCAAGCAGCGTGAGGGGGTTGATCTTGTTTTGCCAGAGCAGCGGGAGGTTTTGCAAATTGGGCTGGAGGGACTTTGGCTTCAGCACGGGGAGGTGAATGAGCCTGTGGGCAGTGGGAGCCCTGGCACGTGGGCTGGCCTGGGGCAGAGCCAGACCCCTCTGCCCCATGGAGGGGCTTTGCTGTGGCAGCTCTGGCCTTGCCTTGCAGGAAGGTGCCCATGTTCGGCCTGGAGGCGGTCTGGAGGGACGGCAAGGTGGTGGGCCACATCCGCCGGGCAGATTTTGGATTTGCCATTGACAAAACCATCGCCTACGGCTACATCCGTGACCCTGCGGGGGGCCCGGTGAGTGCAGACCCCTGGCATGGCTCTGCCTCCCTCCCTGCAGTGGCACAAAGCCCTCGCTGTCCCTGGCTGGGAGAAGGAACAGCAGCTCCCTCGTGCTTGCCCTGTGCAGCCCAGAGGGGGAGGAATGTCACAGCTCAGTGGCAAAGTGTCACCCACTGTCACTGTGTGAGGTCCATGCATGGCTCAAGTGCCACCTCAAGTGTTAAGTGCAACCAAATATTTAATTGCAATAGTAATTTAGTTAATGTTGTAGACAACAATGACCAATAGGAGCAGGTCAGGCTCTTAATTAACCCTGGGAGACTCCTGGATAATCAGTCAGGTGCCCTCATTAAGCAGTGTGCTGTGGGAACAGAGCTTGGGGTGACATCTCCAGGGTCCTTGTCTGTGCCAGCCAAGAGCTGTGTGTGCTGTGATTCCTGCTCTTGCTTGCCTTGGCTTTTCATCCTGCATCCCTGCAAGAATCCCAAGGCAAGTGGGTTTGTGGGCCAGTTGTCCCTAGGAACCCACTTTTCTCCCAGTGATTAATGTTTCTCCTGTCCCTTTTCCTTTTCCCTTTTCCTTTTCCCTTTTCCCTTTTCCTCTCCCTTTTCCTCTTCTCTTTCTCCCTTTTCCCTCTCCTTTCTTTTCGCCTTTCCTTTTCCCTTTTTTCTACTGTATACCTCCACAGGGGGAAAAAAAAGAAACATAAAACTTTCAAACACTGATTTTTTTTTTTTAAAAGAAAATAGGGTGCTTTTACCAGTTCTCTTCCTCCTTTCTTGGGATGGCA